AGACAGCTCTCGTTTAATTATTTTACACCATTACAAGTTGTTAAATTGAGAGAATAAATGTGCGGACAAATATTTTAGACTTATTTTGGTGTAGACAGCTCTCGTTTAATTATTTTACACCATTACAAGTTGTTAAATTGAGAGAATAAATGTGCGGACAAATATTTTAGACTTATTTTGGTGTAGACAGCTCTCGTTTAATTATTTTACACCATTACAAGTTGTTAAATTGAGAGAATGAATGTGCGGACAAATATTTAATACTTATTTTGGTGTAGACAGCTCTCGTTTAATTATTTTACACCATTACAAGTTGTTAAATTGAGAGAATAAGTGTGTGGACAAATATTTAATACTTATTTTGGTGTAGACAGCTCTTGTTTGATTAATTCCCACAATTACAAGTTGTTAAATTGAGAGAATAAATGTGCGGACAAATATTTTAGACTTATTTTGGTGTAGACAGCTCTCGTTTAATTATTTTACACCATTACAAGTTGTTAAATTGAGAGAATAAATGTATGGACAAGTAATTGAAACTTATTTTGGTGTAGACAACTCTCATTTGATTAATTCCAACAATTACAAGTTCTTAAATTGACAGAATGAATGTATGGACAAATATTGACCATTATATTTGTGAGTAAATACCTGTTGTTTAATTAATTTCCACCTCTACAAGGTTGAGAGAATAAATGTGTCAACAAATATTTGATACTTATTTAGGTGTAAGAACTCGGTGTTTGACCAACTTCCACCATTGCAAGTTGTTAAAATAATGAAATAAATATACTGGTATCATTGGATATTTGATTTAATTGTGAAACTTTCTAACAAAATGTTAACTGCTGGCTTCGAACCCTCAATCAACAATTCCGCAGACACAGTATAAATTCAACAACACCACAGAAGATATTCGTCTGTTGCCTGAATTGTTTTCGTAATATAGGGAACGCCATCGACACTTTAACAAAACTTACCTTGACTTGGTTCTTGTTTATCTCTTGTCACAATCTGGAAACTGTTGAACAAATTGCGCGTCGTCCAGTTAAAGACGTTAGTTATTTTATTATTTATTCATTCAGTTTTGTATGGTTGAGTTTTGTGAGGTTTATTATATTTTTGACGTCTTTGTTTACTTGTTTACGGTTTGAGAGATTTCAGTTTATTTGATTTACGTTTTTAACGGTAGCTCTGAGCGGGACTCGAACCACGTCTTTTCAAGCTAATTTTGTTTTATTTTGATGGCACGCTTGTGTACCACGCCACGACGTTGGTCGTTAAGTGGTGTTCATTTTTCTAACTACTCCAGTGTTCCGATGAGTTGAACGGAAAAGCCAAAACGATTGCTGGTTTCTGATTGCTTCGGTTCTGGTGAGTGTGTATCTAGTGTGATTCGAACCCATGTCGTTTGTATTGGGCGTTTTTTTATTTCCCATGTTAGCTACGCCGTAATATGCAACCACTTCCCCGTTTTATTGTGATTTTGAGTGTTTAATGATGTCTTCCTCACCCGTCACGCCATGACCCAGTTTCAACCACACGGCCATTTTGCAACACAGTTCGTGACCCTCGGCGTCACCCGACTGACTATATGAGCGTTCTGTTCAACTGTTAAGCTAGGATTTATTACCGTTATTATCATTATATTGTCACGTGATTTGTTTTACCTTATGTGTAATGTCTTAAGTATCTTTATTGTAATTTGTATATACCAATTCGTATATACCGAGGAAACGACCCCGATTGAAGGTCATGTATTTTATGACGTCACCAATTCGTGTGTAGGTACTGCTTCTAGATCTGTGCCAAAATAGTTGAACACAAGATTAGATTTTATACATGTATTCAGCAAGATGGTTAAATTAAAATGATAGTCGAAATAGTTGAACACATGATTAGATTATACATGTACTCACCAAGATGGTTAAATTAAAATGATAGTTAAAATAGTTGAACACATTATTAGATCTTAATCAACAATATTACCTGCTCATTAAAAACATATCAATGTTAAAGTATTAAGCAATGAAGGCGTTATTTAGTGTCCGACATTCAGAACTGAATCATAAAATGATATCAACTTCATTATGCTTGAAACTGTTTGACCAGTTAATAACACCATTATTGTATGGTGCTGAAATGTGGGCTGACGAGATATCAAATGACAACAATATGTTAGAACAAGTGTGTAGTCAGTTTTACCACTTTATACTTGGTGTCAGTAAACTGACACCAACTATTGGTGTAAGAGCAGAGTTAGGAAGATGTTAAATCTTAGGACTTTAAGTTCAAAGGAAAAATCTCCATGTCCCTCTCATTTAAAGTGTGGTGTAAAACAGGAGAATTGAAATATGACTGTCCATCTATAAATTAAATAAATTCTAAAATATTTAAATACAAACTCCCAATCAGGATAATTTTTTTTATTTTTCTCTTTTCAAAAAAAGACATTGGTAACGAAATGAACGCAAAGTTTGTTGTTTGTTTTAAATGCGTACAAACCTCATAAATTAAACCTCATTGGGTTGTCAACAAATGAATTCACATCGAGTGATTGTCCCCTGATCAAAAGCTACATTTATCCCCCGATCTAGTGAATTCTCCCGATTTGGAGATAATCTCTATTTCGTGGAAAAGTGCCCAAGTTACTGAATGTAAACAAGTTGACTTACTCACTGAACAACTTTGGATGGATCACCATATTCTGAATATTTCA